GCAGTCGCCGCCGCGTGGGCTCTTGCAAACCAAGTTGTAGGCGGATGGGTGGGATGATCGCGCGAGCATTGGGGTTCAACGCTTCAAGTTCGGCAGGGTAAATGTCGTCGCGACCGATCGCGCCGCGCAGATAGCACCGCGTCGGCGGCGCCGCGCACAACAGAGGTTCTCCTTTCTTAAAAGGAATAAAATTAGACCCCCCCCCCACCAAGGCAACCCGCCCCCCTTCTCGCACGGCAATTTGCACGTGATTCCGCCCCGTCGCCCATCCTATACGCAAGCGCGCATCGCCCCAGCCCGGCTGGCATCGCCCGCCCCCCCCCCCCTCATCCTCTGCAATCACTGCTATGCGCGCGCGCTCGTGTGTCGAACGTCCGCATTTTCAAGAATCCCACGCGAAAAACTGGACGAAATGCACGCGCCCGCGTCGTCGCGCGCGCCTGCCGTGATCCCTCGACAACCGCGAAAGATCGAAAAACATAACACAACAACCGAGCGTCGAACAAACACCAAGCGTCGGAAACCAAAAAACCATCGGTTTCGCAACGAGGATTTACAAAAGACTTGCGCGCGCGCTCTTGCGAATTCTTCGGGCAGCAAAATTTCCAATTTTCTCAGCGGCGCGTCGCCGCGCGGGCTTCGCGCGCGCGCGCCCGACTCGCCTGAACGCCTTCGCACGCGCTGTCGCGAGAAACCCGCCGAACAAAAAAGCAGGGCGCAACGCGCGCGCTTGCCTCGTCGCGCCCGCGCCAACCCTCGGCGTCGCGAGGATTGCAAAACCGAGCGCCCCGCGACCAAACAAAAACACATGGTTTCACAAGCGACAATTTCCAACAAAGCCTGCGCTCGCGCTCTTGCGAGCCCTTATGACAACATCGGTTTTCAACATGTCAGAAGAATTCTGCCGCGCGGGCCGCTCGCGCCGCATGCCTAAGTCGCTCGAAAACCCCCGCGCGCTCTGGGGAAGGCGGGGGGGGGGGGCGGGGGGGGGGCGCGCGATCCGCGTCGCATAACGCCGCGAGGGCCGCTCTCGCGCGTCGGCCGCACGCGCGCGTCGAACTCCTTCCAAAGCCCTCACGGCCGACGCGAAGACGCCGCCGTCGTTGTCGGCGCGATCAGCATCGGCACCGTCGCTGGCCGCGCCGTCGTCGTTGTCGTCATCGTCGCCAAAACCGCCACTATCATAGTCGCGTCTACCGCGGCCGACGTTGCCGCGATACCGCGCCCGGCCAAGTCGCCGATTCGCGCTTGTTGCCCGCTGGGATGCGCCCAGCGGTCAGCGCCGCCGCGGCCGCGTCGGTCGCGCCATGCAAGCTGGCCGCGGCGCGCGCGCGCGGGCTAGCACGGCTGCAGAGATGCGCTGGCGAACGCTGAGCATCCATCGCAATCGCCTCCGCACGGGTTGCGCAAGCGATGTCGCGGGCGGGCGGGCGGGGCGTTTGCGCGAGCAGCGGGGCGCGCAAGTCGCCGCGAACAGAAATTAACTGCGCCGCGCGAACTGCGCCGCAAACATGGCGAAACATAGATTGCGCAACGTGTGTGTGTGTGTGTGTGTGCGTGTGTGTGCGTGTATATATATATATATTAATGTATATATATATACACATATTATCTCCACAAAGGTCCCCCCCTCTAAAAAGCACCTCCGCCCCGCCCCCCCCCCCCGGGGGCATCGCCCCCCTCCGGGGATGCGCAATCTGCTAGCGTTTGCGGCCCACGTGTGCATTATGTGTGTACATATATATATATATATATATAATATGTATATAATATACATACATATATATATATATCTATATATATATGCGTGTGAACTCCTACCGTCGCAGCCCGGCCGGCGTCGACCCCGCCCGAGTCTGCGCGAAAAAAACGATGCGCGAGCACTCGTTTATCACGTATCATCAGTCTTCCAACATCTTCGTCGAATGCGACCAAACGGGCCGCTCGTGCGCGCGTGCCCATATCATTCGAACGCCTCTGCGCGCGCGCCGCGCGCGCCGGGGGGCGGGGCGGGGCGGGTGGGGGGTGGGGGGTGCGGGCCCTGCTGAATGATGCCGTGCGGGCCACTCGCGAGCGTCGGCCGCGCGCGCGTCGAAATCTTTCCAAGGCCTTCCTCAACGCGCGGGCGCCGCCGGCATCGTCTGCGCGATCGACATCGGCGCCGTCGACGGTCTGGCCATCGTCATCGTCATAACCATCACCATCATCACTACTAGAACTACCGCATCTACCGCCGTCCACGCCCCCGCGACGCCGCGCCCGCCCACGTCGCCGACTCGCGCTGAGGCGCCCTCGCGTCAGCGCGGCCCGCGAAGCGCGCTGGGAAGCGCCCGGCGGTCGGCGCCGCCGCGGCCGCGTCGGTCGCGCAGAAAGCCAAGCTGGCCGCCGCGCGCGCGAGCACGCGCGGGCTAGCACGGGCGCAGCGATGCGCCAGCCAGCGCCGAGCAATCATGGCAATCGCCGCCGCGTGGGTTTTGCAAACCAAGTTGTGAGCGGGCGGGTGGGCGGGTGGAATGATTGCGCGAGCGGTGGAATTGCCATCTTCACGTTTCCAGAAATATTTGCAGCCCGTAGGTTCTCAATTCTAGAAAAAAGTAATAGGATCTACTCCCGACCCTCCTTTTGCGCCTTGCAATTTACTTATGTTTTCGCCTAGAGATGAGCTCGTGCCATCCCAGGCAGGCCGGCATCGGCGCCCTGCTTCGTCCTGTGGGAAATACAACACGCGCGCAACCGTTTATCAAAAACCATCAGCTTCCTAGAACCCCTGGCAAGTAATAGGACGAAGTGCGCGCGCGCGTCGTCGCGCGCGCATCCCAAAATCACTCAAACACCAATGGTTTCGCACTGATTTCAAAATCGAACGTCCCGGAACCATTTGGCAACGCCAGTCTACAAGACATTCTCAAGAAAACCATTGGTTTCCCTTCAGAAGCGTCGTTGCTCTTGCGAATCCTGAAGAGAACCGTCGGTTCTCAAGATTTTCAAAACATGCTAATTGCCCAACAGGCTTCGCGCGCGCATGTCGAAATCGTTCGAACGCCCTGTCGCGCGTGGTGCTGCAACATTGCCTTGCAACATATAAAACGAAATGCACGCGCGCGCGTCGTCGCGCGCGCACGCCGGAATCCGTCAAAATCCTTTAGTTTCGCCAGGATTTCAAAATCGAGCGTCCCGGAAACACTTGGCAACGCCAGCTTTCAAAAAAGCCTGCGCTCGCGCTTTTGTGAATTCCCATCAGAAATCACAAATTTTTCAAAATCTTCATCATTCAATTCTGCCAACTGGGCTTCTCGCGCCGCATGTCGAAATCATTCGAACGCCCTTGCGCGCGTGCTGGGGGGGCACGATCCGTGTCAAAACACTATGCGGGCCACTCTCGCGCTTCGGCGGCGCGCGCACATCGAACTCCTTCCAAAACCGTCATCACCGACGCGAGGACGCCGTCATCGTCGCCGGCTTGGCCAGCATCGGTGCCGTCACTGGCCTTGCCATCGTCGTTGTCATCATCGTCACCACCGTCGGTACTGTCATCCTCGCGTCCACTGCGTTCGACGTCTCAATGATACCGCGCCTGCCAGCGGTCAGCCCCGCCGCGGCCCCATCGGTCGTGCCAAACTAGCTGGCCGCTGCGCGCGCGAGCGTGCGCGGGCTAGCGCGGCCGCAAAGATGCACCAGCCAACACCAAGCACTTATCGCAATCGCCGCCGCATGGGCTTATGCAGACCAATTTGCGGGTGGGTGGGTGGGATGACTGCGCGAGCAGTGGAGTCGACAACTCAGTGCGAACAAGAATTCATTGCACCATGTTGATGTCTCCACACATGTAGCACATCATATATCCCGGCGGGGGTCCCGGGGGAGGTCTCACCTTCCGGGTCGGCGGCACCGGCCGCAAGGCTTTCGCAATTGCACAACATATTGTGAACCAAATGAGTTGCACAACGTGTACGGTACAACATCGATTGCCCCACGTATACTGCACCACGTAGACTGCTACACAAACGTGCGCTGCACCGATTGCTAGAAACAGGCAGTTTGAGATTCACGCTGGCTAACACATACACACCGCTCTCCATATTTTATATACACACATACATACATACATACATACATACATACATACATACATACATACATACATACATACATACATACATCTATATATATGTATATATATATACACGCGTACACACATACATTTTTTGTCGTCGTGCCCGTGATCGCAAGGCGCGGGCAGGCCTAGGCTGGGATGCGATGTGGCAAACTGGCGCCGCTGAGGGGGAGACGGAAGAGGGCGGCCGCGGAGAGGGGGCTGCGGGCGGCCGAATCGCTCAAAACGTGCAATCCTTCACGCCGGTGTATCGGCCCAGGCTCTGGGCAGGAGTCGCGCGAAGCGGCGGCAAGCACGCTGCGCGGTGCGATCATGCCAAAGCGCAGGAGAGGCGGCCGTCCGAGGGATTTTCGAGGAGACCGGGCGCTCCAGGAATGTAGAATGCACGAAGCTAGGGGGCCACATGCGAACCCTACCCCTGCCCCCCACGATATCTGAGTGAACCCCACCCTCCCCCTCAGAAGTCGTGGGGGGGAGGGGGAGGGTTCGCATGTGGCCCCTAGAAGCGAAATTGGGCTGGCTGTGGGCGTGGCCCATGGCGGTGGACTGAAGCCGGCCGGAGGACGGGAGGGTCCAGGACTGTGCCAAGCCAACTAAACCAGCTCTCCGCATGTCACAGACACACACCACGACACACGCATTTGTCCTCCGGCGGTGGGTTGCAATCGTCAGATCGTGCAATACAAAGCCAGGCTACACATAGGGCGAAAATGGATGCGAATTGAAAGGCACCGCTGAAGCACATACGACACCATGCATGCCACGCACGACCTGTAACGCCCAAACTGCGTGCGACCAGGCGCCCGACCAAAAACATCTGAGTCGTAGAAACCCTCTCTCTCTGTGCTGCGCGCGCATACTGAACCTCCAGCTCTGCAGCGAGGGCCTGTGGGCGAGATGACGCCCTCGAGCTGCAAGTTGCCCCCAAGCTCCTGTGCACACAACTAGAGAAACACAACGCGACCATTCCATTGTGCAAGTTTGCCCGCGTTCAAATATGTCCGAAGGAGCGCGATCTACCGTCGCCTGGAAAAAATCCCCCCCCTGGAAACGAGGGGGGGGGGAGAACGGGGGGGATAAAATATCCCCAGCTCTCCTCGGGAACCGGGAAAGGGGCGGGGGAACCCTCCTGCTCAGGAACGGGCTGGGGAGGGGGGGTTCCATGGGCCAGCGGGGCTGGGGCCGGGGCCGGGGCTGGCAGGGGCCGGGGCTGGGGCCGAGAACGGGGCTGGGGCCCGGGCAGGGGTCGGGGCCGCGGCCGGGGGCCAGGGCCGGGGCCGGGGACGGGGCCAGGGCTGGGGCCAGGGCTGGGGCCTGGGCCAGGGCCGTGGCTGGGGCTTCCACGCCCAACGACCCTTGAGCTCTGTTCGAGCTTTGTTTGAGTTTTGTTTGAGTCTTGTTGAGCTTTGTTGGAGCTTTGTTTCAGCTATACTTGAGCTGTGTTTGAGCTTTGCTTCAGCGTTGTTCGATCTTTGTTTGAGCTTTGCTTGAGCGTTGTTGGAGATTTGTTGGAGCTTTGTTTGCGCTTTGTTGGAGCCTTGTTTCAGCGGCGTTTGAGCTTTGTTTGAGCTTTGTTTGAGCTTCCATTCAGCGTCATTTGAGCATTGGTCGCGCTTTGTTTGAGCTGTGTTTGAGCTGTGCTTGAGCTGTGTTTGAGCTTCGTTTGAGCTTTGTATGAGTTTGTTTTAGCAGTGTTTGAGCTTTGTTTGAGCTTTGCTTGAATTTGATTGGAACTTTGTTTGAGTTTTGCTTGAGCTTTGTTGGGGCCTTGCCTGAGCGTTGTTTGAGTAGCTTTGCTTGACTGTGTTTGAGATTTGTTTGAGTTTTGTTTGAGCTTTGATGCAGCTTGTTGGAGCTTTGTTTCGACTTTGTTTGAGCTGCGATTCAGCTATATTCGAATTTTGTGTGAGCTTTGTTTGAGCTTTGTTGGGGATTAGCTTGAGAGTTGCGTGAGCTTTGATGGATATTTGTGTGCTTTGCTTGCGCTTTGTTGGAGCGTTGTTTCAGCGGCGGTTGAGCTTTGTTTGACCTCAGTTTGAGCTTTGTTTGAGCTTTGGCTAAGCTTCGCTTGAGCTTTGTTTGAACTGTGCTTGAACTTTGTTTGAGCTTTATTTGAGCTCTGCTTGAGCTGTGATTGAGCTTGCTTGTTTGAGCTCTGTGTGAGCTTTGTTTGAGCTGTGCTCCAGCTTTGTTGGAGCTTTGCTTGACTTTTCTGGAGCTTTGTTTGGCCTTAGTTTGAGCTTTGTGTGAGCTTTGCTGGAGCTTTGTTTGAGTTGTGCTTGAGTTTTGGTTGAACTGTGTTTGAACTTTGTTTGAGCTTTCTTTGAACTCTGTTTGAGCGTTGTTGGGGCTTTGCTTGAGCTTTGTTAGAGCTTTGTTTGAGCGTTGTTTGAGCTTGTCTGAGCTTGGCTGAGCTTTGTTTAAGCTTTGTGTGAGCTTTGTTTGAGCTATGTTTGAGCCTTGGTTGAATTTTGCTTGAGCTTTGTTAGCGCTTTGCGTGAGCGTTGTTTGAACTTTGTTTGAGCTGGCGGCGACGATGACGACGGAAACGGCGACGGCGACGGCATTGGCGACAGCGATGGGCGGGACATTAAATTCTACCTTCACTCGGCGATGAGACAAGATTGGGAGGACAAATATCACAACCACCGAGGACGCCGTTCGGGCGGGCAGGACTTTAAAATTACGATTCGCTCAGGGATGGCGCGTTCAGTCGGGCGGGCGGGCGGGACATGAAACAACCTTCACTCTGTGATTGAACAAGGTTGGGACAAAATATATCGCAACCATTGAAGACGCCAGTGGGGCGGGCGGGACATAAATGACACCTACACTCAGTGATGGGGCGTCATGATCATCACCCTCATCATTGTCACCACCACCGTCAAGAGCTTTTCTTTAGCTTGCGACGGCAACGACGACGGACACGGCGACGGCGACGGCGATAGCGACGGGCCAGACATTAAATGCAACCTTCACTCGGTGATGGGACAACATTGAGGGAAAACATATCACAACCACCCGGGACGCCGATCGGGCGGGCAGGACATGAAATTCACTATTCACTCAGTGATGGAGCGTTCAGTCGGGCGGGCGGGCAGGACACTCAATGCACCGAGCTATGTTGGAGCTGATTGAGCTTTGGCTAAGCTTTGTTTGAACTTTGTGTGAGCCTTGTTGGGACTTTGTTTGAGCTTTGATTGGGCTTGGTTTGAGCTTGGCTTGAGCTCTATTTGAGCTTTGTGTGAGCTTTGTTTGCGCTTTGTTGGAGCTCTGTTGGATCTTCGTTTCAGCTTTGGTTGAGCTTTGTTTGAGCTTCGTTGGAGCTTTGTTGCAACTCTGTTTTAGCGTTGGTTGAGCTTAGTTCGAGCTTTGTTTGAGCTATGCTTGAGCGTTGTTTGGCCCTTAGTTGGAGCTATGCTGAAGCTTTGTTTGAGCCTTTTTTTGAGCTTTGCTTAAGCTTTTTTTGAGCTGTACTGGAGCTGTTTTTTTTCGGGAGCGTTGTGTAAGCTTTGCTTGGGTATTGCTTCAGCTTTGTTAGAGCTTTGTGCAAGCTTTGCTTGAGCTTTGTTTGCGTTTTGTTTATTGAGCTTTGTTTGAGTTTTGCTAAGCTTGTTTGAACTTTGTTTGCGCTTGTCTTGAGCTTTGTTTGAGTGTTGCTAAGTTTGTTTGAACGTTGTTTGACTTTGTTGTAATTTCGTTTGAGAGCTGGTCTAACTTTGTTTGGGCTGTGGTTAAGCTGTGTTTGAGCTGTGTTTGAGCTTTGTTTCGGCTTCCTTTGAGCTTTGTTGGAGCTTTGTCTGAGCATTGTTTGCGCTTTGCTTGGGATTTGTTTGAGCGTTGCTTGAGCTGTGACTGAGCTGTTTTAGAAGTTTGTTTGAGCTTTGTTAGAGCCTTGATTGTGCTTTGCTTGAGCTACTTGAGCTATGCTTGAGCTATGTGTGAACTTTGTTTGAGCTTTGCGTGACCATTGTTTGAGCTTCATGCGAGCTTTGCTTGAGCTTGAGCTGAACGCTGTTCGGCCTTTGTTTGAGCTTTGTGTCAGCTTTGCTTGATGTTTGTTATAGCTTTGTTCCCTACCTAGGCTCTGCCTAGAGGGTTCTTACTCTCTTAGCTTAAAGGGGCCGGGCAGTGCAAAGCGCCCCGGGCGGTTCCCCCAGTCCCCGCCCCGCGGTTCACCCAGTCGCGCCCCCTTAGCTTAGCGTTGCTTATCTCATCTTAGCTTAGCTTAGTTCATCTTAGCTGAGCTTAGCTGAGCTTCATCTTAGCTCAGGTTTATCTTATCTTAGCTTACCGTCTTCTTAGCTTCGCTGAGCTTTAGCATAGCAGAGCACAGCATAGCATAGCGTAGCATAGCATAGCGCAGCACAGCATATCATAGCATAGCCCAGCATAGCATAGCATCGCGCAACATAGCATAGCATAGCATAGCATAGCATATCATAACATAGTATAGCACAATGCAGCATAGCATAGCGCAGCATAGCATAGCATGACATAGCATAGCATAGCATAGCGCCGCATATCATAGCATAGCATAGCATAGCATAGCTTAGCATGGCGCAGCATAGCATAGCATAGCATAGCGCATCAAATCATAGCATAGCATCGCATAACATAGCGCAGCATAGCATAGCATGTCATAGCATAGCGCAGCATATCATAACATAGCATAGCGCAATACAGCACAGCATGTCATATCATAGCGCAGCATCTCATATCATATCATATCATGAACTAGCATAGCATAGCGCAGCATAGCATAGCATAGCATAACATAGTATCGCGCACCTTAGCATAGCATAGCATAGCATAGCGCAGCATAGCATAGCATAGCACAGCATAGCATAGCATAACACAGCGCAACCGAGCGTACCCTAGCATAGCATAGCATGTAGATGTTGCTTTCCTAGATGCTCCAACTCCTAGGTAGGGTCGCACTGGGATAATTTGAGCTATGCTTGAGTTGTTTTGCAATTACTTTGACATTTTTTGGAGGTTTGCCTGAGCTTTGCTTGAGCTTTGTTGAAGAATTGCTTGAGCTTGCGACGACGACGACGACGACGAGGGAATCGGCGACGGCGACGGCCATGGCGACGGGCGGGACATGCAATGTAACCTTCACTCTGTGATGGGACAAGGGGAAACTTATCACAACCACGGAATACGCATGGCGGTCGGGCAGGACATTAAATGAAACCTTCACTCAGTGATGGGGCACCATCATCGTCACCATCATCGTTATCACCACCACCATCAAGAGCTTGGTGTTGAGCTTGCGACGACGCCGACGACGGACACGGCGACGGCGACGGCGATAGCAACGGGCGGGACGTTAAATGCAACCTTCACTCGGTGATGGACAAGGTTGGGGGAAAACGTATCACAACCACCGGGGACGCCGATCGGGCGGGCGGAAATGAACTGTATCATTCACTCAGTGACGGAGCGTTCAGTCTGGCGGGCGGGCGGGACATTAAATACAACCTTGACTCCGTTATGGGACAAAGGTGGGGGGAACTATATCACAACGACGGAGTACGCCTGTCGGGCGGGCAGGACATTACATGAAACCTTCACTCAGTGATGGGGCATCATCATCATCATCATCACCATCATCATCAAATCATCATCATCATCATCATCATCATCATGAGCTTTGCTTGAGCTTGCGACGACGACGACGGACACGGCAACGGCGACGGTGATGGCGACGGCGACGGAGGGGACCTCAAATACAACCTCCACTCGGTCATGGGACAAACTTGAGGAAACGATATATCACAACCACCGACGTCGCTAGTCGGGCGGGCGGGACATCATCATCATCACTGGGGGCGTCATCACCATCATCACCACCATCCTGATCACCATCATCATCACCATCACCATCACCATCACCATCACCATCACCATCACCATCACCATCATC